GGGAAAATGGAGTTCCATGGAAGTAACAGGTAATTAACAGCCTTCAGAATCTTCAACAGATAAAATTGTCTATAGAAGGTGCATGCAGTTTTCTTTTCTCACTTGAATTTAATTTTGAAAGTAGCTACTTGTCCAGACACTGGAAAGGTTGACACAAAGTCTATCCAAATAGTGCTAAGCCTATCCAAAAACCTGATTATCTCCTTACCTTATCTTCACTCTTCTTATGATCCATACTTCATTCAATCTTTATCTCTTGTCCCCAAAATCACAGATCCCCAAGATACTTTTTGTCTGTTGTCAGTAGAATTTGAATATTTATGAACAAGTTGATTTCAGTTATATAAAATAAGATGTTAAATTTCTTCACATTCAAGCTTTATCATAAATAAGAACCCCATAATATAACCAATAGAGAGTCAATGGAAGATTTGAATTGGGCAGTAAGATCAGATTATGTTTTAAAAATAGCATTCCCTGGGAAAAGATAGTTGCAAATGACATATCAGATAAAGGGTTAATATCCAAAATCTATAAGGAACTCACCAAACTCCACACCAAAAACCAAATAACCCAGTGAAGAAATGGGCAGAAGACATGAACAGACACTTCTCCAAAGAGGACCTCCAGATGGCCAACAGACACATGAAACGATGCTCAGCATCTCTCATCATCAAGGAAATGCAGATCAAAACCACACTGAGATACCACCTCACACCAGTCAGAGTGGGTAAAATGAACAAATCAGAAGACTATAGATGCTGGTGAGGATGTGGAGAAACCGGCACTCTCTTACACTGTTGGTGGGAATGTAAACTGGTGCAGCCCCTCTGGAAAACAGTGTGGAATTTCCTCAAAAAATTAACAATAGAATTTCCCTATGACCCAGCAATAGCACTGCTAGGAATTTACCCAAGGGATACAGGAGTGCTGATGCCTAGGGACACATGTACCCCAATGTTCATAGCAGCACTCTCAACAATAGCCAAAACATGGAAAGAGCCTAAGTGTCCATCACTGGACGAATGGATCAAGAAGATGTGGTTTATCTATACAATGAAATACTCCATGGCAATGAGAAAGAATGAAATCTGGCCGTGTGTAGCAACGTGGATGGAACTTGAGGGTGTTATGCTGAGCAAAATAAGTCAGGCAGAGAAGGACAGCTACCATATGTTTGCACGTATAGGAGGATTTAGAGGAACTTAATGGAGGACAATGGGGGAGAAGAAGGAGAAAAATAGTTGGGGAGAGGGAGAGAGGTAAACCATGAGAGACTCTTGAATGCTGAGAGCAAACTGAAGGCTGATGGGGGTGAGGAAGAGGGGAAGGGGGGTGATGGGCATGGAGGAGGGCACTTGTGGGGATGAGCACTGGGTGTTATATGGAAACCAATTTGACAATAAGTTATTTAAGATAAATAAATAAATAAATAAATAAATAAAAATAGCATTCCTGGATTCCTAGATACTGAAAAAATAGATAAATTCCCTCCAAGTTGAAAAGAAGATACATCACATTCATGTGTGAAAAGACTACATTTTATTTATTTTTTTGTTTAATGTTTATTTTTGATAGATAGACAGAGACAGAGAGAGACAGAGTGTGAGTAGAGGAGGCACAGAGCACAAAGGAGACACAGAATCCAAAGCAGGCTCCAGGCTCCAAGCTGTCAGCACTGAGCCTGATGCGAGGCTCAAACTCAGAAACTGTGAGATCATGATCTGAGCCAAAGTCAGAAACTTAACTGGCTCAGTCACCCTGGCGTCCCCGAAAAGACTACATTTTAAAGATGTTACTTTTATCAAAGTTAGGAGACTACAACCAAAATTCCAGTAGGATTATATTAGTGGATTAGACACAAGATTTCTAAAATACATCTGGGAAAATATTCTCAAGAATACCCAAGAAAAGTAAAACAAGCAAAAACAATGAATGGATTCCTTCCTTTTTTCTTTGCATGCATATTACTGAATACCTATGAAGTGGCTAAAAAATAACCTTTGCAATGCACTGCAATTACAGGGTTGATACTGGGTACAGATAAGATCTTTTCCTCTGTGGGGTGTACAATCTAATTACCTAGGAGGTGGTATTATGTAAAGATTAAGAGTACTGGCTTTGGAAGGAGGAACAAAGAAGGGGGAAATCAAAGATGCTGCCAAGAAAGCATAAGGAGGGGCACCTGGGTGGCTTAGTTGGTTAAGCGTCCGACTTTTGCTTAGGTCATGATCTCGTGGTTCGTGGGTTCGAGCCCCGCGTCGGGCTCTGTGCTGACTGCCAGCTCAGAGCCTGGAGCCTATTTCAGAGTCTGTATCTCCCTCTCTCTCTGACCCTCCCCTGTTCATGCTGTCTCTCTCTCTCTCCTAGAAATAAATAAAGATATTAAAAAAAAAAGAAAGCATAAGGAGTCACACAAGACATTCATGGTGTTGGCCTAAAAGATTGATGGATAAGTTCAAGGGCAAATTCATTCTCTAAGTGAAAGAAAATGTGGAAAAAGTAAGTGAACATGGGCTTTGTAGTTAAATATACCCGTGTTTTGAACCCATCTTTGACTATTCGTAGCTAGTGAGCTTCAGCAAATGAATTTACTCTTCTAACCTTCAGGGTTTTTTCTTTTTTTCTCTAATACAAGTCTCACAACAATATAAACTTCATGGGATTACTGTAAGGAATAAATGTGATGACGAGTGTAGACCACATAACCAGGTACTAGCAGAAAGAAGGGGATGGATGAATGTGTGGATCCCTAGGTAAGTTTACATGGAGAGAAGCATAAAAATAGAAAGGTAGATGATAAAATTTCCAGAATAACAACGCAAAGAGAAAAAAAGTAGAATTGGTTCATCTTGAAGCTTCCCTACTTTAATAAAGAAGAGGTGAACGTTCCTACTTAAAGTAATATAGGGGAGGTATGGTCAAATAGTTGAAAAAATGGATTAAAAAAAGAAATGATATGGAAATGGATGGCATAGTTAGCAACATGACATTAAATAAGAGGTTTTCTTAGGAGTCTAGCAGGCTTAGATGACCAACCAATGTTGACTGAAGTCTGGAGTAAGAAAATAGGAAGCTGGGTTTAACCTGGCTTGGAAGAGGGAAGCATAGAATAAAGGGTAAGATGTCATGGCCATGTCAAGAGGCTAAATATAAATGTCAGACTATGAAACTCAGGCTGAGAGGAAAAGAGAAAGCAACAAAAGGAGTGCTAACTACTCGAGAGTTTAAGGTCTATGTGATAGAACTTTTCTAGGTAATGGCACATTATCAGGCTTTCCTAAGTTGAAGTGGAGGGAAACAAATGGAAAACCTGGGGGGCTTGAGTACTGCAAAGATTATTGGTTGCAGTGCTCATGTTTCCTAGGCTGATGTCAGAAATCATGTCCTTGAAAGACATAACAGGTAAACCTTTTGAGAAGCAGAATGGACTGTGTGACCTCAGGAGGCAGAATAGACCAGGGACGTGAATCGGCCTTCAATTAGCAAGAAAGTCCACCAACTCATCTGGAATGTGATAGGCAATTAGCCTTTGCAAAGGTCATCAAATATTCACAATGCCACTCCTTCCGGTTCTCATGATCTGCAGCCAGAAACCACAAGTACAGAACCTCCGTTCTATCCTTGCCTGATGGAGCCTGAAACACCAGAGGAGGTGGTTCTGGAGAGGGATCAAAGTAGGACATAGACATTACAGCAAGGTCATGCCAAGTAAGTGGTTAGCCAAGTGAGTAAGGCGGCTTCTCCCTGTGCTCAGTGTGCCCCTGTCCACAGGTTCATGGAATAGCAACTTCACACAAGTCTAGCTGTGACCTCACGGTGACTAGAGCAGGCTCACATTCTGCAGCAACCTCAGTCAGGTAATTCTTTACCTCCTCTATCCTTCATTCAAATCAGTGATGGGACCTTCGGCTTTCCTCTCTGTCTGTGGGTTTTCCCATATGTTTCTTTTCCTCCAGTACCCTCCTTTTATTTCCGCTGCACATGAAAGTAGGGAAAATTTCATGGCTAACAGAGTTCTCCCTCATTTCTCTTTATGCCCACAAGCTGCAATTTGGAGAGAGACTGAATAGAAAGAGTGGGACCGGAGGAAGTTGAGCAAATGACCGGGAGAGTATCTTCCCTCTGGGCCTAAATACTCCCATCCTACAGAAGAAGAGTTTGGCTAAGGAAATTGGCAATTTAATATAGTTAAACTCTTTACTTATAATAGTATCTGTTGGCCATCTAAGTATGCTTTGAAGTTCATAACTTTTCTGAGGCTCACACTTTTAGATGTTGAAGCTAGAATTTGAACTCAGATCTCTCTGATACACACACACACACACACACACACACATATCATAAAAGTTATATGTACCTATCTAAAAATTTTAAAAAATCATAAAAATTATATTTAGATCTAAATATATATCCTTATTCTTGCATCAGGGAAGGTAGACATAATTTTTATGACCCAAGGCCCCCCAATTCCATGTTCAAGTCATTCTTTGTATTTGAACACGTGTAAGTGGCCTGGAAGAAGACACTTAGCTAGGAAATGAAGGACTTGAGAAACTGGTCTATCCCAGGAAATCCAACGACTCACATTACAAGGTGACATGTCCCTGATAATGCAGGATAGTACTCAGTTCACACCTTTTTTTATCAGAATTTTTAATAAATTCTTAGAATGTCTGTATTCGCTGACATGTATGTTCTGGTGTAGATAATACAGGGTGAACTTACGTAAAAGTAACATGTACATGGCTATTGGAAGAAAAAAAAAGTTATTTGAATGGTTTACTTTCCCTAGTTGGAACAAGAGGACCTTCTCAGGTCTGAATCCCTGGGGTGATATCAGGCCAATATTGAGGCCACCATGTCAAGTTTATAGGAATGCAGCACCTCAGGGTGACAGGTGTTCTCATTTGGAAATCCAGGTGTGCAAGATATTAGGAAACAGCTACCCCAAGCCTTTTTCCCAGGCTTCACCAGAGCAGGATATTGGATGAAATTAAATGGCTGCCTTTTCCTACCTGACCATATTTTTCCTGGTGTCCTCCACTTTGGAACGTACTTCTTTTTCAGGTAAGCAAACTTACAAGTCTTGGGAGGGAAATTTCTGATATTGTCTTTGTTGTAGAAAAGAAAAGTAGTCATGTGTGTCTGGGTGGGGAATGTTAGGCATGACAATGCAAAGTGGGTATGAATTGGGTATCACTGTTAGAAAAGGAAGTTACTTTGGAAAACACTCCAAAATTTGAAAATGAAGTAACATGCTTCTACATAATGCACGGGTCAAGAAAAATCCAAAAGGCAATTGAAACATTTTTTGAACACGAGAAAAATAAAACAAAATGAGTGAAAGTTTTGCTTCAAAGAAGTGTCACTACCTTCATACCCCTTTACTTTTGATTCCAATCCTATGGCCGTCTTTGTGGAATCAGCCTCATTGGTCTCTATCTTTCCTGTGTTAGTTTTTGCTTAGATAAACATATGTGTGTGCATTGTGTCATTCCTCCTACTTTCTTGCATAAAAGACAGCACACTATAGATACCTGTTTGAGAAATTGCTTTTCTCAATTTACAAATATCTTGAAAATTAATACATATCAACTCACAGGGATCTCCCTCATTCTTTTATACAACTGCATAGAACTTCACTGGGTGTGTGTATCGACATTTACTCAACAGTCTGCTATCTATGGGCATTTAGTTGGTGTCCAATATTTTTCAGTCACAAACAATGCTGCAATAATCTTATGCATATGTGTTTTTGTATTGTTGGAGGTATAGCTTCAGGGTAAATTCTTTAAACTAAAAGATATCTGATACACTGGAAGAAAATATCTGCAGCACATATCACTGACAAAGGACTAATATACCTAATACATGAGAATACTTAAAACTGAGGGAACTTAATTGTCAAATGAGTAATATGTTTACTACATATACAATTCACACACACATAACACATACCCCCAAAATACAGAAATGGCTCTTAAATCTGTAAAAGATATTCAACTTCACTATGAAAAAAAATGCTAATCAAAATTATCTTAAAACACCATTTCTCACTTATTAAAAAGGATTTCCTACATTAAGATTAAAGGGGCACTTGGATGGCTCAGTAGGTTAAGTGTCTGACTTTGCCTCAGGTCATAATCTCACAGCTCAAGAGTTCAAGCCCCATGTCAGGCTCTGTACTGACAGCTCAGAGCCTGGAGGCTGCTTTGGATTTTGTCTCTCTCTCTCTCTGCCCCTTCCCCATGCACACTCTGTCTCCATCTCTTGAAAGAAAGAAAGAAAGAAAGAAAGAAAGAAAGAAAGAAAGAAAGAAAGAAAGAAAGAAAGAAAGAAAGAAAGAAAGAAAATTAAAGAAAAATCCAGTTGATCCTGGCATGGTTTTGTTTCTTATGTTCAGATGCATTTGAAGTTCATTCTCATATATGACATGTGGCACATATTTTTACTTTATTTTATTGCTACTAGATGAAAGTCTTTTCTACTCTCTTCACTATATCCAGCCACTTTTGCCAATAAAAGATTCTGGGTTTTGTTTGTTTGTTTGTTTGTTTTTTACAATTAGAGAGAAGCATTCCATTCTTTTTTATTCTTTAAAAGATTGTACATGCAATTGACATAGTCTATTCCTGGAAAGGTTGGTAGGCTTCGTGTTTCCTTTGGGGAAAAAATGAAAATAAAATCTAAGTTTTCTCTTCAAAATTTGGAAAGTCCAGCTTTTGGAAAGCTAGAATTTTCCAGAATATTTAAAAGATCATCCTACAATGAGAGATAAGGAAGAGCAGAACTATGATATGTCTTTTCTTGTTTCTCTCTCCTACAGCCAGCTGGCCATGGTCCACCCTCAGGCAACACCAGCATCCTAGTTTCCCAGAGCCAGTCAGCCTCTCCCAAGGAATCTCTAAAGTTCCTAACCATCACTCATAATATCCTCTTTCGTTCAGCATCTTGGTAAAAACTAGCCTAATGTTTTATTTACCTTAGCAGATTTAATTTAAAAAATAACTTTAAAGTACACATACTCATCCCAGTTGTAGTGAAGAGGAACCTAAAGCCAATGAAAGTCACGTAACCTAATGAAAATAACATAGTTTGCAAGTTATGCATACAACCCCAAGTGGATTTTACTCTTTTCTCAATGACATAGAAATTTTATAAATAAAGTTAGAATTGTGAAAATGAACGGAAGAATGAATAAATGGATAAAGTAGTTAACAAAGGAATGCCACCCACAAATTCTGTCGCTACAAGTTATTTTGCAAATGAGTAACTAGATTGCATTTCTTTATTCAGTTAGTAACTTAGGTGGAATATGAAATCATATTCCATGAAGAACTATTTCTTTTAACCTGTTGTGTATGTACTTTATCTGCAGAAATCTTCAAGCCACACAATATAGACAAATGGCCTAAGGTAAATTTAAATTTCTCAGTTATCAATTCTGATGCTAATCTGATCACTTTCTTGACTTGAGAGACTGAAAACTTCATAGGGGTAAATAGAACAAAAGTTTTCCATGTGACCTTGGACATGTATTTTAACCTTTGCAGATTTAGATCGAATCTCATGTAGCACAAACATTATAACAATAAGATGCATCTCTGTTCATTAAATGAAATAACACTGGTCATTTCCTTAAGTTTATAAAATTAAAAAGTGATAAATATATGAGTTATTCCTAGCCGCAATACAGAATCCTCACTCTTATCAATTACATTTGAGCCCCTTCCCCTAGAATTTCACAAACACATAAATATCTCTATTCACAAACTCCTTAGAATGAGTTATTGGCATTGGGACTCTAAGTTTAAATAAAAATTTTGTATTGAGGATTTAAGTGGGTATGTTATAATGCTTATGACTTTAAGAGATGATGGATAGATGACTGATTTTCTGACACTGCAGTCAGCAAAAAAAACCTGAGTGACCAAAGCCTTGTCTTTGTAATTCTTGAAAAAGAAATCAATTGACTAGAAATATTTGTTATTATTTCTGTGAGGGGCAGAAGTGTTAGGCCAGAAATAGATGAAGGAAAATCTATCAATTGTTATTCATATGATACTTTATGCTATTTGCAGCCCCCATGTGAAATGTACTACCCTCTGGATCCTTTTTATGACTCAAGATGCCCGAATATAACATCCTATGTTTGCGCTACAAACGGCCACACTTACCAGAATGAGTGTTTCTTTTGTGTTGATCAGTGGTAAGTTCAAAATTAAATAGCATTATTTTTTCCTCTATACTTATTCGCAGAAATATCACATAATCTTAGCCAAGGAGCTGGATTTACTGATGGATGGGATTTTTAAAATAACCTCTATTGTTCATATAAGACTGGGGACAGACTATGTATAAAGAGAAAAGTCTTTCTGAAAAACTTCAGTTAACATTCAAAGTTAACTCATTAAAAAAAGAAAGAAAAGCTTATGCGATATTTTGGCAAAATTGTACAATGATCCTACTAATGGACATCTATAGATTATACCCAAACAATGAATAGAAACCCATTTTTTCAAATCACTCAAAAATGTTTAACAGGTCAAAATGACATGCCGATGAATAGCACTCATAAATATTTCATGGTAGACATAAACAGATATAGATATCAATATAGATGTAGGCATAGGTATAGGTGCAGGCACACACGTGAATAACAAAGTGCTTATGTGTTCTTACATAGATCAAAATTGCCAGTGACTTATATATTTCTTTGCCTTTCAAGGAAGTTCAATGTGAAATTTAAATTTAAAAATTAATAATATTCCTTGGGATATACTTTAAATTCCATTTGAAATTGTTTTTACAAACAGACTTACATCTAGTTAGCAACTTTTCCATAACCTACCAGATCTTCTGTGTTGGAAGTCACATCAAACCAAGACTATCCTCAGGTTTGATGATCTGCTAGCAGGACTCACAGACCTCAAAGTTACACACATGGTAGCGGTTTATTACCATGAGAGGATCTGAGTAGAATCAGCAAAGGCAGAAAGCTCATAGGGTGGAGTCCAGGAGAGAGCAATCACAGGCTTCTGGTTGATCTTTCCCCGTGGACTCACACAGGCAGTGTTTCATTCTCCCAGCTATGATGTATGACAACACATAGGAAGTATTGTCAACCTGGGAAGGTCACCAATGTCTCGGTTCCCAGGCCTTTTGTTAGAAGCCAGTCACCTAGGCATGTAGCACCTGCACAACTAACAATTACTAAGTCTCCAGCCACCCCACATTCCCTGAGGAATGAACAACAGGCATTCACTTAAGCCTATGACCCCAGGTTATAAAGTCACTCTTATCAGGAGTGACATTCTAAAGGCTTACGGATACTTCCTAGGCATGAATTTGAGCAACCCAAGTCTGTTGAGGTAATTCTTTCACGCATATCTTCCTTTGAAGACAATCTTCATGGAGTTCCAGAGTCATGTTTTGACCTCATGAGGATGTTATTTTGAGCACTGAAGGAAATGGGTGTGGAAGCTATTGAATAAGGGAAATATTTGCTCGTCTTCAGAACAAGCTCTAGACTCAGAGGATGCTTGAAATGTCATTTAAAGGAAAACGATGGTAACTGAAAAAATGGGAATTAACCAAGTAACTACCATCAGTTTCAAAGCAAGATTAATGAGAAGTCATGAATGTCACTGGATTATGTAGAATAATTAAATTACATTAACATTCCTTCCTAATAGCTGCCGTCACTTTCTCAGACAGGGGCTAATTAGGCAAGACACTCAGAAGTGCCTTCTTAGCTCTTCCACATAACCCTTTTTCCACACCTTTTGGTATTTGGACACACACCACTAAAAAGAGCAGCATAGAAGGAATTGAGTCATGATGGCTGGGGTTTCTGGGAAGTAGCATAGACTGATGCAGAGCGACAGGTGACAACCCAATGCTTCTCAATGTTTGTTCTAAGATTTCTTTCAGCCTCATCTAGGAGACTTGAGAAAGTCTCAGCACCACTGAAATCATGCCTTAGACCTATTCTGACAGAAATGGGAAGAGACTAAAGAAACTATATTCCTTCTTTCCTTCCTTCCCTTCCTTCTTTTCTCCCTATCTTGTGATTCTCCTAAATGTACTGCAAACACCATGACTGTTATTTCTTAATCTAAGAATAAATAAAGAGCCCTTGTTGATTAAAAAAGCAAAAAAAAAAAAAAAAAAATGGTTCAGTAACACCGCAACCAATATGAGACCAGGTCTTAGCAAACATATCTACTTCTGAAACACACTGATGCCAGTGGCAGAGGTGATGCAGTGGCCTGTGTATTTGCTTCAACTCTCAAAGTGACTTTCATGTATAAGCTTGGTCTTCATGCTATTTCTATTTCTTGGAGCAAAAAGGACTGTCTTGATGTTTTTTTGAATGATAGAAGAAGAATCTCTCCATCTCTCCTCTTAGCAGTATTGTGAAGAAAAATCCAGAAAAATTGGGGCTCACAATCTTGAGAGATACTCATCATTTGTGGATGGTGTAAATCCCTTGGGAAAAAAAGAAAAAAGAAAACAGAAGTGTTTTAGGATGCTGAGCTAAGATGATGGAGAAGTAGGAAGACCTGCCTCATTGCAAAAACACAGCTAGATAAAGGTCAAATTATCCTGAATACCCAAGAAATTGATCTGAAGACTGACAGAACAAACTCTACAACTAAAGGGAGAGAAAAGGCCACATCATGGAAGGCAAGGAGAAACTCTGCATAGGACTAACCTTAGGGAAAGGGCAGCCAAAACACAGCAGCTGAGTGCACACAGCTTACAGCAGAGACAACAAAAAGAGAAAATACCCAAATAAATAAAACATGAATGAGAGAAGAGAGATCGCAACCAACACCACAGAAATAAAAACAATTATAAGAGAATATGATGAAAAATTATAGGCCAATAAATCGGGCCACCTGGAAGAAATGGATAATTTCCTAGAAATACATAAAATTATCAAAACTGAAATAGAAGAAATAGAAAACTTGAACATACTGATAATCAGCAAAGGAATTGAATCAGTAATGAAAAATCTCCCAATAAATAAAAGTTCAGGGTCAGATGGCTTCTCAGAGGAATTCTACCAGACATTTATTTTTATTTATTTTTTAAGGTTTTTAAATTTATTTTTTTTTTAATATTTTTATTTATTTCTGGGAGAGAGAGAGAGAGCGTGAGCAGGGGAGGGTCAGAGAGAGTGTGATACATATTCTGAAACATGCTCCAGGCTCTGAGCTGGCAGTCAGCACAGTGCCCGACGCGGGGCTCGAACCCACGAACCGCGAGATCATGACCTAAGCGAAAGTCGGACGCTCAACCGACTAAGCCACCCAGGCGCCCCTTAAATTTATTTTTGAGAGAGAGAGAGAGAGAGAGAGAGAGAATAAGTGGGGGGAGGGGCAGAGATTGAGGAAGACAGAATCCGAAGTAAGATCCAGGCTCCAAGCTGTCAGCATAGAGCCCAATTTAGGAATTGAACTCACGAACCAAGAGATCATGACCTGACCCGAAGTCAGATGCTTCACCGACTGAGCCACCCAGGCCCCCACTACCAGACATTTAAAAAAAACAGTTAATACCTATTCTTCTAAAACTGTTCCAAAAAATAGAAATGGAAGGAAAACTTCCAAACTAGTCCTATGAGCCCAGCATTACCTTGATTTCAAAAGCAGATAAAGACCCCACTAAAGAAAGAGAATTACAGGGCATTTTTGAACATGAACGCAAAAATTCTCAATAAAATATCAGCAAATAAAATCTAACAGTATGGTAAAAGAATCATTCACTATGATCAAGTGAGATTTATTCCTGGGCTGATTCATGTCCACACATCAATCAATGTGATGTACCACATCAATAAAAGGAAAGATAAGAACCATATGATTCTCTCAATAGATGCAGAAAAAACATTTGACAAAATACAGCATCCATTCTCGATAAAAACCATCAAGAAAGTAGGGATAGAAAGAACATACCCCAATATCATAAAGGCCAAATATGAAAGACCCACAGCTAATATCGTCCTCAATGGGGAAAAACTGAGAGACTTTCCCCGACTGTCAGGAAGAAGACAAGGATGTCCACTCTCACCATTATTATTTAACATTGTACTGGAAGGCCTAGCCTCAGCAACCAGACAACACAAAGAAATAAAAGTCATCCAAATCAGCCAAAAAGAAGTCAAACTTTCGCTATTTGCAGACGACATGAGATTCCATGTAGGAAATCTGAAAGACTCCCCCTAAAAGCTGCTAGAACTGATACATGAATTCAGCAAAGTCAGAGGATACAAAGTCAACATGCAGAATCTGTTGCATTTCTCTACACCAATGATGAAGCAGCAGAAAGAGAAATCAAGGAATTGATTCCATTTATAATTGCACCAAAAACCATACTTGGGAATCAACCTAACCAAAGAAGTGAAAGATCTGTAAGCCGAAAACTATAGAACACTTATGAAAGAAATTGAAGATGATACAAAGAAATGGAAAAACATTCCATGTTCATGGACTGGAAGAACAACTATTATTAAAATGTTTATATTACGCAAAGAAATCTACACATTTACTGCAATCCCTCTCAAAACAACACCAGCATTTTTCAGAGAAGTAGAACAAACAATACTAAAATTTGTACAAAACCACAAAAGACCCTGAATAGTAAAAATATTGTTGGAAAAAGAAAAGCAAAGCTGGAGGCAGCACAATTCTGAGCTTTAAGTTATATTATAAAGCTGTGGCGATCAAAACAGCATGGTACTGGCACACAAACAGACACACCAGAAATGGACCCACAACTATATGGTCAACTAATCTTCAACAAAGCAGGAGAGAATGTCCATTGGAAAAAGACAGTCTCTTCAACAAATGATGCTGGGAAAGCTGGATAGCAACATGTAAAAGAATGAAACTGGACCACTTTCTTACACCACACACAAAAATAAAATCAAAATAGAAGAAGACCTGAATGTGAGACAAGAAACCATCAGAATCATAGAGGAGAACACAGGCAGCAGCCTCTTTGACATCAGCTGGAGCAATTTTTTAGTAGATATGTCTCCAGAGTTAAGGGAAACAAAAGCAAAAATGAACTATCGAGACTTATATCAAGATAAAAATCTTCTGCATAGTAAAGGAAACAATCAACAAAACTATAAAGCAACCTTTGGAATGGGAGAAGATATTTGCAAATGGCATATCTAATAAAAGGTTAGTATCCAAAAATCTATCTATCTATTTATATATTTTAAAAAAACCCCTCAAAACTGAACACACAAAAAACACAAATAATCTGGTTAAGAAGTGGTCAGAAGACATGAATAGACATTTTTCCAAAGAAGACATCCAGGTGGCCAACAGACACATGAAAAGATACTCAACATCACTTGTCACCTGGAAAGCACAAATAAAAACTGCAATGAGATATCACCTCACACTTGTCAGAGTGGCTCAAATGAAAAACACAGGAAACAGATGTTAGTGAGGATTTAGAGAAAGGAGAACCCTCTTACACGGTTCGTGGGAATGCAAACTGGTGCAGTCACTCTGAAAAAAACTCTAGTTAAAACTAGAACTACCCTATGATCCAGCAATTGTACTACTAGGTATTTACCCAAAGATTACAAAAATACTAAGTCAAAGGGGTATATGCACTCCAATGTTTATGGCAGCGTTATCAACAATAGCCAAATTATGTCAACAGCCTAACTGTCTGACTGATGAATGGATAAAGAACATGTGGTGATTGGGTGCCTGGGTAGCTTAGTCAGTTAAATGTCTAGCTCTTGATTTCAGCTCAGGTCATGATCTCAGGGTTTGTGGGATCATGCCCACATCAGTCTCTGTGCTGACAGCGTGGAGCCTGCTTGGGATTCTCCCTCTCTCCCTCTGTCTCTGCTCCTTTTATGCTCATTCTCTCTCTCTCTCTCAATAAATAAATAAACTGAAAAGAAAGAAAATGTGGTGTATATGTACAATGGAATATAACTCAGACATAAAAAACTAATGAAATCTTGCCACTTTCAACAACATGGATGGAGCTAAGGTGTATTATGCTAAGTGAAGTAAGTCAGTGAGAGAAAGGCAAACCCCATATGATTTCAATTATGAGGAATTTAAGAAATGAAACAGATGAATATGGGGAGGGTGAGAAAGGCAAACCAGAAGAGACTCTTAACTATAGAGAAAAACTGAGGATTGTGAGAAGGAGGTGGGTGGAGAATGGGCTAAATGGGTGATGGGTACTAAGGAGGGTACTTGTGATGAGCACTGGGTATTACATGTAAGTGATGAATTATTAAATTCTAGTCCTGAATATAATATTACACTATATGTTAACAAACTAGAATTTAAATAAAAACTTGACACTAAAAGAAGGGAGGGGGAAAGAAGGAAAGAAAATAGAAAACAGAGGAATGCAAGTTCTGGCCAGAACTGATACAGAATTATAGTCACTATTCCTTAAAAGAATCCCTCAAGCCTAGTCAGTGCAGGGCCCTTATAATAATCAAGAAAACAGAGAGTTCTATGAAACAGATCCAGACTCTTCAGAAGTTTGTGATCTCATTTGGCAAAATAAATATATGCCTACGAAAATTCTTGAAAACAGACAACAGCATTGGTTTTGTTCAACCGAAACAGCATTTTAGTAAGCCTCGAAGTGGTGGACAGCATTTCAAAAATCAGATTTTACCAGAAAATATAGATTTCCAACTTATTTTGAAAAAAATCCAAATTATGCTAGTAGTAAGCTAGGATTTCACATGGAAAAAAAAAAAAGCAACAACTGCCTAGTAGTAGCTGCCCCTCCAAATGGGGTTCAGACACCTCTGTTACGATGGAAGTGGCCCACTCCACTTATTTATATTACCAGGTTGGCTCTTACAAGTTAACATGTTTGCAATCCCTTAACCAGGCGAGTAGATCAGATATACCTCAAAGGTAAGCCTGAGATGGGGCTCAACGTGAGGAGTCTCTTGAAAGAAGCGAAGGTTTAAGCATTCTTAGAAAAAAATTGACAGAAAATAGAACAGGCAATTTATACAGGACTCTCTGCTTCAGAAAAGATTTGGAATTGAGAAAAAGTGCAATGTCTTCAGGGAAATAATAAGGAGAAAAATTGTGTTGAAAGGCACATTATGTATTTGGGAACAGTAATACATGAAGGTGGAAGGTTAGGGAGTGGCTACCTTTCTGGGGAAAATATATACCTGAGTAAGAAGAGTAGACTGTATTTTGTGAGCAGTGCAAACCTCGTGAAAATCTGAACAGTGCGAATTAAATGAATTACCATGCGTAGCACTCTTCTTACGGTTATCTTTTACTTCTTGGTTAAAAAAAAAAAAAAAGAAAAAGAAATCTGGCCTTGCTATGTTGAATGGAAAGGTATCAAAATGGGAATGAGTTAAGGGAAGAAAGATTCTTTGTTGAAAAACTTCACAGAACACCTTTTTGAATAATTAAAACATAGAGGAGGAAAGGGCGGTGATGGGCAGGAAAAGAGATGGGAATGAAGGGAATTGCAAAGCAGCCGCCTTCTCAGGAGCACATTTGGAAGATGAGAGAATGTGAAGCATTACCCAGTTTCCTTATGATACTAATCTCTCTCTCTCTCTCTCTTTTATGTCTTCTCTTCAGGGAATTTGATTTTCATATTAAATTTTATAAATATGGAAAATGTTACGAATAAGTAATGGAATACTACACTTGCTTATTCGTTTTACTGCTTAATTATGAAAATTATTTCTTTTGGAATCTGAAGGCATATAATAAGCAACACATCTATGCTACAGCTAAATTTGGAACAAAATTGAAAACAAAAGAATCAACCTAATGGAGAACCAATGGACACATCTCTTACTAATAAGGATAATTATGAAAGAGGTGGTTGATATTTATATCTGCGTACTGATTGTTGAAAAGTGGCTCAGTCGGTTAAGCCTCCACTGCAGCTCAGGTCATGATCCCGCAGTGCGTAGGTTGGAGCCTCGCGTCGGGCTCTGTGCTGACAGCTCAGAGCCTGGAGCCTACTTCAGATTCTGTCTCCCCTTCTCTCTGCCCCTCCCCTAGTCATGATCTGTCTCACTCTGTTTCTCAATAATAAATAAATGTTAAAAAAGAAAAACTTTTTAAAAATGAGCTTTCATTTTGCTAGGTTGGGTTTAAGGTCCATCATCAAGTGTTATTACTGAGGCTCCCCTGAATTAAACTCACCCCAAATTGCAGGCTAACTTGCAAGACCATACCCTGCACCTCACCTGAACAATGACCAGAAGAGTCAACATCTCATACACACATGTAAACAGCTGTTGGAGCCTTTCTACTTCATATTCATGAATGAAGTTTACCTTAATGAGAGAAAAAAAATGTTCATGTGCTAAGAGAAGGAGGGAGAAAGAGTCCCTAGAACTTCTGGAGGGGGGAGTATGTTTTGGAAAGGAAGAGTGGATACCGTATGACCCCCAAGTTTTAGCATTTTTAATCCTTACTCCATTCCATCCTTCCTGTTATATCAGTCAATAAATTCTTTTTGCTTAATCCATCTTAGATGCTGTCACGTATAGCTGAAAGGTCTTGACTAATACACGGTGATGAAGCCCTTACTATATTTGAGGCTGGAGAAATGAGAAAGAAAAGTGATCAGCCTTTGGCTTCAGTGCGCTCTGTGCCATTAGCAATTGCTGCCACTAGATGTCAGCCTCACTCTTCCTCCTTAAACCGACTGGTTCTTACTCAACCAGAAGTGTCCGCATAGCTCTGCTTTCTCCATCACCTTTCCAGCGAATACACAGCTCAGTTCTGCTGGCAACAGGGCTGGTGTCGTCTTACATCATCCTTCCTCCTTTCCATGGGCCCTTGGTCAGGAGGGCCCAGTAGGGTGACTCTCTGGAGCTGCGGAAATAGTGTCTGGTCTTACTGTTTAGTCAAAGTAAGGAAATCTACAATATAGACCTCTTGTTAATTTTGAACGTATTGTGTAATTTAACATTATTTCATCTTTCCATCTCTGCTTTCAAAAATAATAAAAGGCAGGCCAGAGACATGGAACAGAAGAACGATAAATTTATTTATGTAATAAATACAATTAAGAAATGGAAATTAATTGCCCTCTAGGCAGAAGAGTCAGAGAGAGACAAGTTTGGTAAGAGAAACAAGATGTGGACATAGTTATTTCCCGGCCATCTGATCCGGACATGCTACATTTAGGTGGTAACCATCTGAAAATATGTAGGTATAATCTTAGGTCATAGAGACTTTTGCTTAGCTGATAAATCTTTTTATAGATTTATCGGCACTATGAGCTAGTAGCTAAGAATCAGGCAGAGGATCTCTTTCAGCTCTAACGGGCTCCTTTATCTTCTGGCCTTCTCCACCGAAGGGAACTCTGCAGAGGGGTCTTTGTTCAATCAGACAACTGTGACTTCAATTGAAAGGACGATTCGGAGTCATATGGGAAACAAGATAGAGGAGAACGTGTTAAACACTTTCACAGTTTCCTCTTATTGAAGTTACATTCAATCTAAAATGATGAATTTCATTTAAGCTCCAATGAGGTATGTTTTATTTCTGTTCAAATTCACTGATGTAAACCAGGTGATTTCTCCCCCACTCTGGATGAATTGTGTTCTTACCCTGCCTTGTGACTAATGATGTGGAATCTTAAAACCATTAATTTAGTAATTATCTGTGGAGTGGTTCTTAGTCTGCAAGGTACTGTACTTGATGCTGGTAGAAGCAAACAAACAAGGTAGGCAAGATCCTGTTCTCGCAGAACCTGCATCCCAATGGTAAGAGATGAATAATATACGAATTAAGGAACCAGCGATATCAGGTAACAACAAATTCTGTGATGAAAATGAATAAAACAAGATCACATAATAACAAGGAGGCATCGAACAGGAATTCAGCAAATAGAAACTAAATGAATGTTTGGGACCATAAACTCCTAGACACAGACTCAACCTGAAGTCACCAGAGGGGAAGTTTGTAATAGGAACTAATAAGAAGAGAGACTCATGGAGAAAAGACCATCTCAAGAAGAAAACATAGGTGAAAGAATTTTGTAATTGTTTCTTACATAGAATTCAGTGCAAATTGTGTAGTCTAATTACAGAAGACATGGGCTAGAGCCTGAATGATTTACAAGTTGAATGTTTTAAGGAAAAAGCAGCCATTTTACAGAATCCTGGAATTGGAGAAAATGGAATCTTTCAATAGGCTTGATATTGCCTGTGGCCATCTCAAGCTCTTCTCTCTGCACCACTGAGTCCCTGGCTTTCCCGGGATGGCTCCTTGTCATCATTCAGGTGTCTGTCCTCAGCATTCAGGTTCTGAGCAGCCTTCTCTAATCACTCAATGCAATTTGTTCCCTATTTCTATACTACTCAGTATCCCAATACCATGATACAGCTTCTTTCAAATGCTTGTCAAAATATGAAATCACCTTACTATATTATTTGCTTCCTTATTTTACTATATAAGAAAGTAAATTCTAAGAAGTAGTGTCTTTGCCTTATTTATCTCTGTATCTCTAGTGAGGATCATAGTGATTGGAATAGCAAAGGGAAAAGGTGAGTTTGATTATAACTTGTGTTTCACTGTTATTAAGTAATGCTATGTTAGTATGTCAGGGTATAGAGGACTGACGGGATTATATACTGTAAAGGAAATACTAAAGAAGTTGATCTGTTTCATTTGGAGAGGAAAGACTTTGACAAGGCTCTCCAAAGCTGCCTTTGCATATCTGGAGGGCTACACTTGGAAAGAGAGAGAGCAGACTCAGTCTATTGGGCTCCACTATAAAGAACTAGAAAGTCATAAAGAAGTGGAGTTCTATTAAATATGATCAAGAACTTCTGAGCATTGCAAACAGAACAAAACTTCAGTGATCTTCTTTGGTAACAAATCTTTATGTTGGACGTCAAGACATTATAGGAAATTAGAGTAAATTCTTAGTTTTCAATGTTGAGGAAAACACTAACATCTCTTTAGATGTTATTTAACGTTCATAAATAATAACTATGGCAAATTAAGTTTGAAGAAAAATGAGTTAGAGTATTGCAGAAATTTTAATAGAGGCTTTAATAAAATAAAGTCCATTGTGGATGTTCCCAAAAGAAACAGCGTTCCCTTCGGCACTGAGCACAATAGACATGATTTTGTCAATAGGAGCTGGAAACCCTATGTGTGTGTAAAATCTAAATCAGATAGTGTGAGGTCACCTGGGAGCAACATGAACCAACAGGAAAAAGAGCTGTTACTGTTCATTCACACCATCTTGCCCCATAATTGAAACTATTTGGCCTCATCAATTCAAAGGAAATTAATGAACCAAAGCACAGGATCCTTGGATGGACTAACTCCCTGTTCCCATGGGAGGCAAGGAACAAGTTCCTGCCAGACACAAGATCAAAGTGCAGATATCCAGATCTCTACGTCACTGTGGCCCAGTGCACAGAGGGGCATGAACACAGTGAGGGCTACGAAGAAGGAGGAGGAGGAGGAGGAGGAGGAGGAGGAGGAGGAGGAGGAGAAAAAGGAGAAGAAGGAGAAGAAGGAGGAGAAGAAGGAGAAGGAGAAGGAAAAGAAGGAGAAGGAGAAGGAGGAGGAGGGGGAGGAGGAGAAAGAAGAAGGAGAAAAAGAAGGAAGAGAAGGAGAAAGAGGAGGGGGAGGAGGAGAAGCAGAAGCAGGAGAAGAGGAGGAGAAGGAGGGGGGAGAAGGAGGAAGGAGAGAGGGGGACGGAAGAGGAGAAAGATTGTGAAGGAGCCACATGGGGAGGGGAGAGGAGGGCAGAGAAGAGGCAAGCACTAGTCTCCCCAAATCTAGGTCATTGATTTTGAAACTGTCACAAGAAGGCCTCAGAGGTATTGAGTGGAGTCTGCGACGGATGCCAAGAAGGATGGAGCCCGGGGATTAGAAATGGGCCGGTACAGCAGTTAGGAGGAAAATACAGACTTAAACAGGAGCGTCCCAAGGTCTTCTCCCCTACCTGCAACCCTCAGCTTTATTGATCATTTGTACAGATGAGTGTTTCAAGGGAGAGTTTTTAACCTGAAAACCTGAGACGCCAGCCTAGGCTAATGTCACTGGATGTGAGAGAAGCAGGAAGCATACAGGAGAAAAGGGACTGTCACAGCATTGCACCTTGGCTGGAGGAGGGTCGAGGACGGAGAGGAAACTTGTCCCCTGACTCTAGAGGTCCCCTGTCCCCACTGGAACGCTCCTTCTTTCCGTCCGAGCCTCACACATGAAGAGGCCGAGTACTCCGGTCCCGCACTCAGCTCCTGCTGCCTGCTCATTTAAACATCAGCTGTGCTTCCTGCCTGCTCTGATTTTATCAGCTTCACTCCTATCATTCCAATTTCCAATGTGTTTCTAGATCTACCTTTTAGATTTAGATTTGAAGCCAATACACTAGAGTGATTAAAAAGCATTGGCTCTTAACTGTAAACTAGCCATTTCACTAAGTCCCTGTTGCCGCAGCTAAATACCAGGACACATCCACACAGATCATAAGATTATTTTAAATGAGATTGTGCACACACTAGGTGTAACACAGTTCTGGCACATAGTAAGTACACAAAATGTGGTTGACTTTCTTATTGTGTCTTTCTCTTCCTACAGCCATTACTCTATACCTGGATTACTGCCCAGCCATGGTTCTGGCTTGCTTGGTTCCCTCCAGCTAACCGACCCAGAAACTCTGTATTCAGATCCTGCTCCAAATGGATTCTACCACTGTTTGCTAGCCTTCTAATGGGTCACCTTTCTCTTCCCTGTGATACCTTAAATCCACTGGGGAGAAAAAGTCCCTAATATTCTCAGATTTTTTGATCGTTTTATTTTTTATGTTTTTCTGCATTAGTCCTGCCTTGCCTTCCATAAAATGGAGCCATGGTCCTCGTCTGGCAAAGCCTTAAGTTTCCTCTCCCCTTGCAGGAAAGTCAGGAGGAATAAAGAAACCTCCCTCAGCCTAAAGGGACTGCTTTTTGTCTTCTTGAACTTCATCTTTCACCTCCAAAGGATCCTCCCTCTATAATTCATGGCTCATTGTACAGCTTAAAATGTTCTTCTATTTATAAATAGCTGTCCAAACCTAAGCAACCCATGTCTGATAATTTTATCTCACGTTTCCTGAACTTTTTAAAGCCAAAGAACTGTTTCCACCAATCTTTTATCTGCTTTACATCTGTATACACCCTTGAAGATTGTTATGTCAGCCCCACTCCTGAGAAATTAATCTGACATTTTGCCTACTAGCCACAGCCTCTGTAAACAATTGTTCATATTTCCTACACCTACTGCTACTACTAACTTCATACGTACCCTGAACTTTGACCTCTAAACTCATAACTGCTCACACCTTGCATAGTCTATCAGAACCTTCTGGAACACTTGACTCTCTTACAGGCCTATGTCCATCTTTATGGTTCCCCTCCAGTCTCTGACGTATGCACTCCCTATCCACAAAGTCATTTTTTTTCATCTCTTACTCAATATCATAACATATTTTGGTAGAAATATTCAGCACGGCACTGATTGAACCCACAAAACTCTAGTGCTAGTTTTGTTAAGTGGCCATTAATTTTTATTTCCATTGTTGACTGTCTGACATTCTCCCACTGATGTCTGTACCAAGCCTCTCCATCTTTCTCCAGCTTCCAGACCAACCCAGTTTTTCCTGCAAAAGGTAACCCCAGAACTTAACAGTCAGAGCCAACCTTGCAATGGGTACCCCTTCATCTTTCTTCCTCTCCCTTTGAAAATATGTCTCTACATTTGTCTGTTCTTCTCTGTCCCCTGTGACAGAGGGAATGGTGTTCCACCTTGTGTTCTTAATCTGATTATTTCCTACTACTCTATACTGCTCGAATCAGCCACCCTCCATCATGTATCTTAAATTCTTTCTTCTTCCCTTTGGCTGTGAGGCATGATCAATGTATCCTAGACTTCACCGAAGCTTCAGCTTCTTCCACTCCCCCCCTCTCTTTGACTATCAAACGTCCCCCTCAAATTATAACGCTGTTTTCTACTTCATCCTAGCCTCTCTTTGAACACATTCTCATTTCTCCTTGCTAAATGCACTTTCAAAACTCAACAAAGGCACCTATTCTTGAAACAATGGCTTTTTCTCAGTATTCATTCTCTTCAAACGCTCATAGCAAACAATAAAACTTATACAGGACTCTCTTTATTAGGGCATTTTCTTCTCTCTTTTTCCATTACCGAACTCCTCATAGTCTCCTCCATTAATTAGTGGCATGATCTCATGAAGATTACTTAAATACTCTGAGTCTCAACTTACTCACTGGTAATATTAAGGTAATAAGAATTCTTTCCTCAAGGAGTTGTCCTACAGACCACATTCCATATTCTAACTACCATGCATGAAACTCTAATTATGATGTTTATTTTTGCAAAAGCAAACAGTATTTTCTAAGGATGCAAAATATAAAACTAAGTGTGATCTGCTGAATCTGAGCCTAATATTCTTTATTTGATGAAAGAAAGTTTGATGTTTTAACTTATTTCATAACTAGGCCAAGCAGCCTGTACTTAATTTCTTCTACTCTATGGAGTAGAATTCTAAATAACAGTGCGGCCCCTCCCCCGGTCTGGTGCAAGAAGGAAAATTCTTCCCACCTCAAATAACCAATTGTTCGGTCAGTTCATAAGTAGCAATTGAGTGACAAGAAGCGCAACTAGCCAGGGTGTGACATTGTGCTTTGAGAGCCTCTCAGAGCCAGCACTGCCTCTGGATGACCTCACAGGAAAGGTGGAGAAACCAAGCATGGGCATATAAACATGACCCCTTTCTGAGGGTATGGCTGATGTAGCTGGTGTGACAGCCCAGAGACCTCTGCATCACAGCCATCTCTACCATGAAGATCATTGGGGGCCTCTTCCTGCTCTGCACAGTGACCCATTTCTTCAGCAGCTCTGGTGAGTTAAGGGCAGAAGAGTGCCCTCTGTAGCCATTAAGCTTGTCTTCTCAAATAACCCCTTCTCAGCATTTGAGAGAACTATCTGGTCATATGGATTTAAAGTGTACTAGTTTGTGGAGCACCTGGGTAGCTCGTTTGGTTAAGCAGCCGATTCTTGATTTTGGATCAGGTCACGATCTCGTGGTTTGTGAGTTTGAGCCCCGCTTTGGGCTCTGAGCTGGCAGTATGGAGCCTGCTTGAGATTCTCTCTCTCCCTTCCTCACTTGTGTTCTTTCTCCTTCTCTCTAAAAATGAATAAATAGGGGCACCTGGGTGGCTTAGTCAGTGAAGCTTCCGACTTGGGTTCAGGTCATGATCTTGCGTTTCATGGGTTCAAGCCCTGCATCGGGCTCTGTGCTGACAGCTCGGAGCCTGGAGGCTGCTTCTGATTCTGTGTCTCCCTCTCTCTCTGCCCCTCCCCCTCTCATGCTCTGTCTCTCAAAAATAAATAAACATTAAAAAATTTTTTTAAATCAATAAATAAATATTTTAAAAATTATAAAGTATACTGATTTGTAATACAAACTGTCCTGGCCTGGGAAGGGATGATCTTGTGGACTAACTGGTATTGGGGGATTTGGCTCTAGTGTCTTTGCTTTTAAGGATTTTCATTTTCATCCATGGAACCATAAAAAAAACTAATTTCTTTATAAGTCTACTTAATTTCATAAGGATACTGGAAGTGGTTGGTGTTATTAGATGCTATTCCTCAGTGTAACAACACAGAAAAACTTGGATGCCTCTCCAAATCAGTCCAGGAGGATCAAAATAAAACCCAATTCTCCAAAGTCCCGGAGTCAACAATTAGGACTTTTATATGGTGAAAACTACTTAAAGAAATTAAGATTCTAACACCTTAACAATATTCAGTTCCATTTCTTTCTTAACGTTTATTTATTTATTTATTTATTTATTGGTTGAGGTGGGGAGAGGACAGAAAGAAAGGGAGAGAGAGAATCCCAATTTGCGCTGTCAGTGGAGAGCTCAATGCAGGGCTCGAGCTCATGAACCACGATAGCTGAAATCAAGAGTTGGATGCTTGACCAACTGAGCCACCCAGGCACCCCTCCATTACATTTCTTTATGTCGGTTCGGAGGGGAGAATATCAATGGTGGCAGTGCTTCAGGCTCTTAGGAAGGGTGACTGCAATACCTTCTAGTACCATCTGACTTTGAACATTATCAAAGACATGATGAGCTCCAGAAAATGTCTCCTGGTCAATAAAGGAGGAAACAGGTTAATTCTCTTGCCTGAATAAAGGGCGTACCTTATTTGGCTTCTTCAGCAAACAGATGGAGTTTTATATAAGAACAGAGTGTGAGCTGAGATTTCTTGCCAGAGCAAATACAGAGTCTTACTCTCTAGGCCCAAATTTACATTAATTAATGAGACTTCAAGAATTTGCTCTATTTTTAACATTTCCTTCTCTAACTCTCTTTCAGAAGCTGCTAGCCTGTCTTTAACAACAGTGAGTATATTGAATTACATTTAATTTCAATTCCTATTGACATTTAGTCAACAAATACTTTTTGAAATATATATGTAGAATTAATTAAGTGTGTTTGAGGGGCAGAAGGGGGAAGCAGACACAGATTAAAAACTCTCCTCTGCTCTCCAGAAGGCAGTTGAAGAAATAAGACATACATATAAATAACCGTAGCCTAAAAATAAAAATCCCAAGTTAAAAGAGAGAGAGATGACTTCCAGCTGAGGGGTTGGTAAAGTCTTTATGGATAGGACAACGTGGAAGAGGCAGGACAGTTACCTTGGTTAATTGCATGGGCCCTAGATTCAAATCCCAACCCCATCACTAACTGCTTTTATGTTATACAAGTTCTTTGTTTTTAAGCCTTAATTTCCCCATCTATAAATAGGCGTAATAGTTGAACATACCCTATTCAGTAAACAAACAAACAAAAATCATGTACAACTCAAGATTAATGCCTAGCATAGAGATTCTCAGGAATTAATAGCAGAGTCTCCTAGAAGTAACAGAAGTGGTGATAGCAATACTGGTATTTTGTCATGGTGGTAATATTATTAGTAACAGAAGTAGCCACAGCAGCATCAGAATATCTGATCTGGGACTCCTAGGGTGGTGTTTTGCCTTTTGCCCAATAGAGGCCAGCGTAGCCTAGCTTGGGGGCCCAAGAACAGCAGAACAGTCTCTTGTGTCCATTACAGGTGGACTGCAGCATTTACAAGAAGTACCCAGTGGTGGCCATCCCCTGCCCAATCACATACCTGCCTGTCTGTGGTTCTAATTACATCACCTATGGGAATGAATGCCACCTATGCATTGAGAATCTGTGAGTACCTCATGGGAAGAAAAAAGAACAGCAAACCTCTCCTCCTTCTATGAGCCTGTTTCACTTTCTGTAAGCTGTGCTTATTCCCACCTAGAAGCATTTGGGAGAGAGAGAAAACTGACCGACTTGTGGTCAGGGTAGGCTTGGCCCCCTGCTCTGCCAGCTTGAACTCGTTCCATCCATCACCCAGCTGCTGATTCCTGTCTCAGTTGAGGGAGTTCAATAAGACCAGGAGCCCAGAGGTTCTACAGAGGCACCAGAGGCACCAAACTAAGGGGATCATTTGGGGGTAATCTCCAACCCCAAGTTCAGCTTTTGGCTATTTCCAGTAGTGGAGTTCCACACACTATTTTGTTAGAAAAAAGGATCTTGAATCCTACACTAAGAAAATCATTGAAACCCACTATCCCACATGATTTCTAAGAGACTTATGGCCATACTGCTTGATTCTTAGACAAACTGTCTAGAGAGACTTTACCCTCCTCAAATTCCTAGTGGCTCTATTGCTGGCCTTAAGGGGGAAAAGGGGAACAAGGCTATTGTAGTTTGTAGTTTTTTTTTGTTTTGTTTTGTTTTTTATCTAAAAGAGGAGAATGTAGCTGTCAGTGCTTCCACCTGGGTCCCACAGGCATGTTTTGTTTCAGTATTTCATTTGGCCTGCACAGTATTCTTGAAGGCAATATAACTAGGTACTTGCCAGTTCTTTAATGCAAAACAGGCACCTTCACATTTATTACTTTATGCCAAGTTCACTCTGCTCATTGTTAAGCCTCTTTCAACCACTGAATTTGGGCCATCCGTCTTCACTCTTAATATTTTTCATCTTTGTGATTATCTTACAAGCTGGAATATCAGGTTGGGCCCTGAGCCCACAAAGATATGTCTGCATCCTTATTTCTACTCAAGAAGAGGGAATCTTCAGAAAAGAGAAGATGCACACAATTGGGCCCTTGGTCTAGAAACTAGCTTGTGTTCAAGGGTGCTGAAGGGGGACATGGGTGGCGGGCGGTTCTTACCAATGAAGGATCCAGAGTCATCACAGGCCTTGCTGTGATGAGCAGGAAAAGATGAGGTGCAGGCCACCTCAATTCCCCAAGTCAGAAGCTCTCCTTCTTTGTAAGATGCAGGATAATCGGGCCCAGGCTCTGGGGTCAGTGTAGGCTGGAAGGATCACTGGACTAGGGAAACTTGGCTTTTGTCTCTATCTGAAACTACCTGTGGCAAGGACATTCCTTTTCAGGGATTCTGTTTCCTCATCTGTGACATTAAGTTCTGCCTCATAATTTTTATGATTCCTTTCAGTTCTGGCATTATATAACATTTCCTCTTGTTTAATGAATCCCGTTCTGCGTTTCCTCATAGGAAAAGTAATGGAAAAGTTCAGTTTCTTCACGAAGGAGCATGTTAACTTCCCCACAGACATGGATACAGAGTGATGACGTCTTCACCATCATCTTCATCATCCCTGGGCTCTGACTGCCTTTTCCTTCATCTCAGCCAGTGCTCTGGGTAAGCGCTGAGAAAGACAGAGTCATCTTTGTTGAGCAGAGAAAATTGTCGTGGTCCTCCTTAAACTCATGCCTTGCTGACTTCCGGGCCTCTTTTTGTACATCAATAAAAGAATCCTAGATGGTTTATCTTTACTTCTGCCTGTATGTGTTCCTTAGTTTGGGATGTGATATATCAGTTTAAAAATAAAACCAAGGAAAATATAAATCTTCTGTAGGAAAAAATCTTGCATAAAGAATTCCAAGTGACTTCTAAAAGACAAGGGCAAGCGCACACACACACACACACACACACACACACACACACACGCACACAGACCAGTGAACATCTTACCCTCTCCTAGAGTCTTTACTTTCCTTAATCAGTACCTGTCACTGGGAACTAGTTTGTGGACCATACTGGTTCTTTATGTTAGTCTCTTTTCCAAAGTCCCTCAGAAGGAAAACGCCTTTACCCTGGGCGCCCAGGTGGCTCTGTCCATTAAGTGTCTGACTCTTGATTTTAGTTCAGGTCATGATCTCATGGTTTGTGAGATGGAACTCTATGGCTGTCAGCTCAGAGCCTGCTAGGGATTCTCTTTTTCCCTCTTTATCTGCCTCTCCTCTCTGTCTCAAAATAAATAAATAAACATTAAAAAAACCAGAGGTCATCCCTGCAGATAAGACTTTCCTGCCGATTTCTTTCCATGAGCATTCAATAATTTCTCTTTTCCTGTCTCTCACCTTGCTAACTTCCTGCTGTAGCCTTAATAGAACATCCCTGGCACTGACTATGGCCTTGTTTGAGCTCCTTTCTAACACTTGTCTTCCACACCTGTAAAAGGTAGATACCACTGTGTACCATAACAACATTGACAGTATTGGCAAGTTGTACATTTTTGTTTTAAATACAGAGATATGTAACTCATGCCAGGGGGTGAAGCTGGAGTTCCTTCTATAGAGAATATTGATGTGACCATTACGCTTTGAGGAAGTCTCAGTGCTAGGCATAGCTCACAAGAAATTAGTGACCTAGTTTGGGCCTTGGTGTACTTTCATGGCTCATATTCTCCTCCCCATGTTCACTTCTTTCCTCACGTGCTCCAGAACTAATTTTGGCCCAGAGATTGAAAGAGGATAGTCGTGCTCACTACCTATGGGCTGCCCTAAAGATACAAGAAGGCCCATGGAAACCTTATCTCCTTATAAACTCAAGAAGAGAGAGACTTCACAGTTATGGTGATTCCATAAAAGTGGTATAAAAAGGCTTGTAAACAGTTGACTTGCACCCTTATATTCTACCTCTAAATTGCTATAAAATCACATTAAGTACCTACTCTGTCTCCATGATCATGACACACCTAACATGGTCAGGATGATTGGGATAAAACATGGGTCTGAATCAGGGTCAAGTTCAAAGTTAAGGCCAAGCCAGATCATGGTCAAGTCAACTATGGAAACTGTGAAGAAGAGCAAGGATAGGGAAGTATCTCAGAAAAACAGAATTGCTGAAGTAAAAGTAGCAGATAGGGAGAAGTTGTGATCTGGACAGTTAAGGGCCTAGAATAGGTGGTCAAAAGGGCTTGCTGGCTTAGCTCTCTTCAGGTTGTTTGCCACCTTCATCAGCTCTCACTTCCTGGTTCTGAGCTCCCCCTCCCCACCTCCCTCACCACCCACTGGTGTGATCCTCTCCTGAGCTGCTCACACCTGCTGGTGGGTATGGAGCATCCCCTCATCTGAGTGGCACACCCTCCGCTCAGTCTCTCAGTCTGCTATGCTCTTCTCGTCACGCCAATTCCTCCCACCTTTTCACATCCTCAGCTTCTCTTGTCTTTCCTTCCCCTGGTTTTATTTATCCCTGCATCTGACACTGTTTGCCCTGTCTTAAACAAGCACCAGCATTTTCCTGGTTCTCCTCACCAGTCTTGCTTACCTTATCTTCAGTTGCTTCTACCTTCTTAGGAGCCTTGATTTCTGTATTTCTCCATTTGCCTCACCCCTTTCTCTTCTGCTGCTATCAAGTTTTTGGCTACCTCAGTCCTTCCCATTCTTCGTCTGACCTCACTCACATCTCCTTGGCTGACCTGAATCCTCAGAAGCTCATTTCTGTGTACACAAAAGCTCTCTTCCTCCTTGAAGTTAGATTGTGATAAAGACCAATGCATGAGCATTCGCCTACCCTGTGAGCTCGTCTTCACCTTGGTGTATGGTACAGATAGAAAAATATATGACAATCCCTGCCAACTGCATGTGAAGATCAGGGAAACATATCAACAAAACCATGATACAAAACATGGGCAAAATACACACCTACATTAGAATTCCTGATTGTCAAGGATGAAAGAGAGCCAGTCAACAGCCTCATTTTATGGATGGAAACTCTGAACTCCCCAAATTGAAAATGTCTATTGTTCACATGGAAGAGGAGGACAAGAACCCACATCTGCTACCCCCAATCCAGGGACCAAAAAGTGTTTCCAGAATTTCATCCATCATACCTCAATACCCTTGAAAATCAAATTCCTTCTACTATGAAATGACCCGGTGTATAACATCTGTAAAGCACTCAGAGTTCACAAAATACTTTCATATTTTCTGTCTCATTTAATCCCCACATAACTCATAAGGTAGACATTGTCAGCCAAACTTTTCAGGTGAGATAAAAGAAGCTTCCAAAACAAAACGAAGGGTAGGATTGTAAAACTGTGAATGGTAGATGGTTCTACGGGCTCAGGGTCTAACTAGCATTTGCTCTACACACCACGCTGTGTAAAGAAAGTTAGGAAACATCTCGCTTTATTGCAGACCGGAGCAGCATTAGTTCTTCAGTCTATACTGCATCCAAAGCAGATGCTAGTTGTTGATGACACTGCCCCCTTTTCTCCCAACATTTACCAAAACTCACCACCTAAAAGAAAGGTTCTGATCTTTCTTAAATTGATGAGATTTGTCCTACAATTGATACATCCATAGAATCCTTTTAATATTTATAAATGATGTTTAAAAATAGTTACTGCTCGGGGCGCCTGGGTGGCTCAGTCGGTTAAGCGTCCAACTTCGGCTCAGGTCATGATCTTACGGTTCATGGGTTCCAGCCCCACGTCAGGCTCTGTGCTGACAGGTAGCTCAGAGCTTGGAGCCTGTTTCGGATTCTGTGTCTCCCTCTCTCTCTGACCCCCCCCTGCTCACGCTGTGTGTGTGTGTCTCTCTCTCTTAGAAATAAATAAACATTAAGAAAAATAGTTACTGCTCTTCAAATTTTAGAATTAACCTGTGGTTAAACTGTAGTAGAATGAATTATGGTATACAGAGCAGAACATGTATATTTTTAATGTATGAAATGTAAAAATAAAAATAGAGGTGACAAATCTTTAGAGAAAAAAGTTGATTGGGGGAAGTGATTGGAGGAGTAAAGTAATTTTCTTGCAGGATTATGAGATGCTATCTAAGGATGAGAATGATAGTGACTAAAATATATTATTTAAGGTTTTAAAGGTAATATGCAGAATGTTTGAAAAGTCATGATACACTCATCAAAAATTGGGAAGAGCTAAAAGTCATGATATACTCATCAAAAATTGGGAAGAGCTAAAAATGGGAAGGTAATGTAAATTCACAATCTTTCCTTAAGAGATGAGAGTCAGTAAGTAACTTTTTTGTTAGTAAATCAAGAAATAGTGGTACAAGTATACTATTGAGAATTATGATGGTAACAACCTTAGAAGAGAAATGGTTAAAATTACCTCTCACTGAAGTGTGATATTGACAATGAGGACTTTGCTTTTCATTGTAAGCTCTTTACCATCAATGGAATTTATACACACACACACACACACACACACACATTTCATACTATGGTAGGTATAATTTATATCCTTTCTTCTCCTATTTCCTTAACAGGAAAAGTAAATCTTTGCCACAGGAACACTAATAACCATACATGTAAATGTAAAGCAGGTTTATTTTTAAATTTTTACCTCTTCACGTTTAGGTCTTGGAGGAAAAATTTTATTCAATTTTACTTGCTTCTCTGTGTGTTCATCAGCATTGGCATCACTGAAGTCTCTGGCATCCTCATCATCTCTGTCTTTGTTACACCAACCAGCTCAGGAGAACCCAACAAAACTTGAGACAGGAGACCCGTGTGTTTACATGAACCTAAAAATTCACCTGGTGTGTGGTTGTGGGTTGGTCATTCATGTGTGTGATAGCTCTTTCCTTACTGATAAAATCAAGAGAATAATAATCCCTAATTTAATCTGTATATTGTGAGAGAATGCAGACGACATATGCATTCACACACGCTTCGTAAACTACAAGTCCTATAGAAATGAAAGGGTTGTTATACAGAAACCAACTTGACAATAAACTATTTAAAAAAAGAAATAAAAGTGTTGATTATGACCTGTATGCCTTCCTTCTCCAATATTTACCCAGGCCCGAACACATAGACCACATTCTTAGAAATATGTTTGGCGTGTTGGAAGTAACAACCCATGATCAGCAAATGTTCTGGGTTCTTTTTTTCTTGGTTTGAGATAAATTGGAACATGTTGGTTCATTAGAAATTGATATGAGAAAGTGAAAAGGCAAATGTACAATATGAACGTATAAGATTACATGAATTTACTTATATGGTTTGTCCCATTGAATATGGCCTCACTTAATACCATAAGACTCTGATGAAAAATGAGATAGTCAAGTAATCTCAAGGGATCTCATCACAAAATACTTACTAGTTTTGAAAAGATAAAGAGTAACTGTAGAATGGAGAAACTATGCATACACTAACCTGCACAAGTGATCAAAGTTAGCATTGTTTGTGAGGGAGCAAAATCAGCATCATGTATACCATCTCAAAGTATACTGTATGAAGAATATAGAGTAACTTCTGTATTTCCCTGCCAAAAATGCACAACCTGAACATAGCCACTAGGAAATGGCAGACAAATTCAAATCCAGAAACCTACTGTAAAATAACTCATCTCCAACTTTCAAAAACCAAGAATGGGTCTTTTAAATAGTATGCATTGAAAGAGACAAAAGAACATGACAATGCACGATCTTGAATGAATCTTTTATTATTGTTGAGAAATAGTTCACATACTATAAAATTGGTGTTTTGTTAAATTTTTAAAATTGACGTGTAATTAATA